CGCCCGCTGACTCCACCAAGTTTCACTAAAAATTCATCTCATTGGGGTCCTTCTGCGAGGGTTCATTCCCAGGGAATGGATTCCCTCCTCTCACAGTTGTGAGGATCCCAATATCAGTTATATGCTGTAATATCAGGGTTTATAACTGGTAGCACTGGACCCGAGAGGGGAACCAAACCCACTCAGGGGATGCAGCAACTGCTCCTTTCAGTTGGTCATTGAAGCAGAAGGACCAACAGCTCAGACAGACCCACCTTAAAATCACTGGCTGAGCAGGACACAAGGCACACCAGGCTGCATTTCCCAGAGTGGAGCTCATGGAATTGCAGGCAGTTTGTTTGACAAAAAAGGGAACAAAAACGGGCTGCTCTTCACATCATCGTGTCGTAGCTCTGAGCTAACAAAAAATTGACTGGACCCATAAATTTAATCACATAATCAGTGTTTTAATGGATTAAAACCGTGTGCCTGGGCGAAAATGTCCTGTTTTGTCCCCGCTATTTCTTCATCCAAGAAGCCCTTTTTAGACTATTTGACAAAAGTGGATGTGTAATTGAATTCAGGAACAGCATCAGATGACACACAGGCTGTCATATGTTAGTCAAAAAAAAAAAGAAAAATAGTTACCATAACAACTGACTCACCACTTGTGTTTCCAAGAGGGAGAACATCTTAAAGGAGAATGCCACAGGTCAGTCCTGTGTGTGTTTGTGCTCCCAGGGAATGGGCAGGAACATTGTTTTCATGGGTGCCAGGAATGATGGGGGGTTCTTCCTCAAATAAAGATTTGGTACCAGAAATAAGATTGTGCTTCTTAGATGGTCATGTCCATAATTGGAAGCAACAGCAAATAAGTATGTTTAAAAACAAAATGAGAAGTCCCGAGTACTGGATTTTCCAAACATATTGGGGACCACTCTTTTTTTCTGTCAGAATTGCTGCTTTTACTTTTCTTTGGTTCGTTGTTGAGGACCTGAACCTGCTCATGGCTGAAGTGCAGGAGTTTTACCTTTGACATCTGCGTTTGCCTGATCAAGCCTTAACATGATTTATTTTGTATTTTGTGTCAGCCCCTCTGAGCCAGCTTCAAAGCCACTTCCCCAGACGTGTTTCCTGCATCTCCACTGAAGCCCTTGGTGCTAAAACTCTTGACATCATCACTAGAAGTAGCCTGAGGATCATCAGAGTCTTCTTTGAAGACTTGGTAGTAATTTCCACTACAGACAAATATTCTGCTGAAAAAAAGGTTTTGCCTCTGCCCCCTCTGTCCTGCGGGCAGTGATAAATAAAGAATTGCTGCAAAATCAGATTACTTTTAATCTGACATTTCATACATTCTGCAAAGGCAACCACAGAGTCGTTGAGTCTGCCCATATAACAGGACCACTGTGAGCCCTGATAGGTGTGGGGTTCCTTTTGGTACTGAGCTTAAGAAAATTTTAAAGAAAAAGAAGTATAGAATGCTTTCTTTTGGGTCTTTGGGTTGTTTTGTTTCAGACTTTCAGACTGGCTGTTTAGCATTTTGCTCAAAGAAAAGCCCAGCTCACACACATGGAAGATTGCCAGGGACTCTAATCCCTATTTTGGTTAAATTACAGTACCCAGATTTCAGTAACAAAGCGCATTGATTTTATATTCAAAAAGATTTTTATATTTAGTCTGTTAACCTTTTGTAATTCCCACCCACAGCTCTGCACTGGGGAACATTTTGATGCTAATTGTTGTCAGTGGGGAATCTGCCCCGGCCCCTTGGGAATGTCAGTGCAGTGAATGCAGTGCAGGTGCTGGAATTGCAGCTCTGGAATTGTCTCTGGGTAGCAGGGATGGCTCAGGCAATTCCTTTCAAACTGCACTGGAGAACACTCAAAAACATAAATCTGGTAACCAAAGATAACCTGACATCATATCTGCAATAAAGAAAAGAGGTGGGAGAATTCTTCCCCTCATTTCCAGAGGAGTTTTCCAGACTCACAGTTTAAATCACTCCTCACTGGGCAGATTCTGATTCAAGAGTTACTGTGCAGTTTTGAGAAGTCCCTTTGGGTTTGGGTGTTTGTGGGAATTCTAGTCTGGGAGTCTCTGGAAGTTGTTTGGTGGAACATCCCAACCCCGTGGATATGACGTGGGAATGGAGGGAAAAGGAGCGTTTGTGCTCTGAGCCCAGATCCTGTGAGTGACACTGGACACGGTGCTTCCTTCAGCCCTGCTGTCCTCAGGATGAGAAAACAGCACTGCTTGTCCTTCCAACAACTCCAACCAAACTGTCCTGGGATCTCAGTGGGCACATGGGTGTGTTTGCCATCCATAGGAAAACTCCACATCCTTCACTTTGCTGGAATCTTCATTATACTCTTTGTAAGACCAACGTGGGGCAGAGTTAATGATTATGCAACAGCAGTTTGTTTGGTATACACAGTATGCTAAAGTGCTGCCTGGGAAAATATTTTAAATACAGAGCAGTCATTACATTTATTAAATGATTATAATTTTAGTGGGTTTGATGAACCCTCCCCCTGAGTGAAGTCTTTGTTTCCACAGAATGCTTTAATATGGATGAGAGTCACTCTCACAAGAAAAATCTTTGGTGAACTGAAGTTACTATACAGAGGAAAAAGGGAAATTTAGGGTCAAAAAGAGAAGATTCTTATAATCTTCACTGTAAGATAATTTTTTTTTTAAATCAAAACCAGTTGAATTCAATTTTAATTTTCAAGGATTGCATTAACACTCCCCCTGGTCCAACTCGAGGCCGTTTCCTCTCGTCCTGTCCCTTGTGGCCTGCAAGAAGGGCCTGACACCCACCTCCCCTTTTCACTTTGCCAAAGCTTTAAATGAAATAGAGTCACGTTTGGGGTTTGTTTGCATGCACACTCTTGCACTTTTTGCTTGTCCTGATGTGTTTATTTGTGCTCTCAGAAGTTTGGCCTCTGCAGCAATGCTAATGGGATCATAAATTAAAGCATGTTTGCTTCTATACCACTGTTCTGCTGAGTGCATTATTGGGATGTATCACACTTGATAATTTTCTTTGGCATCAGTCCAGTAGTGAAATAGTCCTCAGCAGCACTTTATTTAACAAAAGTTAAATATATTTTGTTTTCTGCTGAATAGATCATCTTTTATCTCCTTCTCCCCCCCTCCTTAATGAACAAATCTCTGGTGAATTGACTCCAGCATTAAAGACTAATGCAGTGTGTCTGGTCACCTTTAAATGAAATGTCTATCCCCCCTTAGGACCAATAACCCTGTATTTTTAAAAAACTTCAGTTAAACGAGGATGATCTTGCAGCATTTCCCCTGCTACAGCCAGAGAATAACTCTCTGTGGGATGTGAACAAACATTTCCCTGCCTCTGTGGGGTCACTGCCCCCCAGCCTTTCTGAGGGCTCTTCCCTGCCAGTGCCTTCTCCTTCCTTCCCCCACCGACCCCCAACTCCGGGCTTGATGTCCTGCACAAGTGACTCGTGTGCTGTAATTGAATCGGCTGTAAAAAGATAATTAATTGATATTTCGCTCCCAGAGAGGTCAAGCTGCCCTCTCCTGAAGGGTGGTTATGGAAGGAGTCGTTGTGCTGGCACTCAGCCCTCAGAGGGGGCACAGGAGCTTTGTCTTGCCGGCAGCAGTAATTGTTGTAATTAAAATTAACATGAAGGGGGGACTTAAGGAGTGATTCTCTGATTTAGATGCTTTAGCTTCTCTTGAAAGCTTGTGAAACTGGAATTTATTTTAATGCCTGGCACAAGGCTGTGCCATTTGCTGCCTAAACCTCCCTGTGCCACGTTACCAGTAATGTGGGAGCACAGAAATACCACTGTAGGTGTGTAAATTTGAGATGGCTGATGTGAAATCCTGTCAGGCACCTTGAAACCATTGATTTTAAACACGTCTCTTTGAACAGCTGCTTATTGTGAGATTATTTCAGCTGAAGATTGGCATGAAGAATTCTTTCAGTAAATGGATTATCCAAATGTAGGACTTCACTGATGTTTAAGAGGCTCTTAAACATTTCCTTTGAAACTGTGTGGCACAAGAGCTATCAATTAACAATATAATAATATTAAACCCACATTAAATTTAGTGACACAGGAACCTTTCTGAAACTGTTGGTGCATTAAGAGCCTGGAGTTATCCTGGAAGGAGTGTGGTTCTCACTCATTGCCCAGAGAATAAATACTGCTACTACAGCAAAAGCTAATGGAGAGAAAGATGTTATTTAATGTCCTTGCAGAGGCAAAGACTTAACTTTTATCACACCTTATAATGATAAAGTTACAGCCCTGTGGAGAGAACTGCAGCATTCCCAGCTGGAAAGACCTTATTTAAGGTCTCCTAGGTGGGATAAAGCATTGCAGGGGGAACACAACCCTTCTTTTCACTCTTCAGCCTTAATGTAAAATGCCATATTTGCATGGATACAATACATTAAAATGAGGAAAACAATGATGTAGGCATTGAATTCCAGGAAATAATCCAGAAAATAACCTGTTCTACAAACTGAAGCTGTATTGGGAAAATTCTGGGGAAAAGCCTAGATCCTATTGTTTGAACTGAGAAAGTAGGATGTGCCCATTCCCAAAGTTCAGGTACAGATAACTGTTTACTATTTATAGATAACTATTTGCTTCACTCCCAGTGAGAATGTTCCAAAAGGGAAGAGCAGATGAGAACTTCAGATCAGACAATTTGTTCCAGCTTCTGGTTTCAAATTCTTTTGACTGTTGAGTTGTACATTCTGGCTTTTGTCTTTTCACTGCAGGGGATGCTGATAGTTTAGTGACCAGGATCCAATTTTGCTTACAGAAATAAATAATAGGAAATCACGAGAGAATCTTAATATATGTAAATCAAACCCCAGCATAGTCAAGTGCTGATGATTTTGCATTTGTTCTTAAGTTACAAATGCAAAGGAAAACACTAGCACATCATAAATTACACCAGTTTTGGCACTTTCCTGAAGCTCTACAGAAATACTTCTTTTTTTTTTTTTTTTTCCCCTGCAGAAAGGAGGCAAAAAGCCAAGTGGCAGGAGATCTGCTGAGAAAGCTGAGGATGACAGTCTGGCAGGGGAGGAGGGAAGGCAGCAGGTACGTGTGAACCAGGACTGTGCTGCTCAGCTGGGGGCTGCTCCTGCCCAGGGCAGGTTTGAGCCCTGCAATCCCCCACTTCTGGCTGGGGGGGCCCTCCTGGACAAGGACCCTGCTTTTTGGTTCCCTGACCCCTCTTTTCTCACACTGCCCTTCACATTTTATGCCAATACACCTTTTGTTCCTTCATAACCTTGGCTTGTGCTTGCAAGAACGGTTTTCAGCCCTTAACTTTGGAGAGTGGTTGGTGATGGGCTTTTGGTGGTTGGATAGCTTTTTGAAGTGCTTTTTTTGTGTTATTAGATCTTCCTAATGATGTAGGTGTGGGGGGGGCTCACTACACTTTTACAATTGCCATCAAATCTACTTTGCCTGGTTTTTCAGGTAGGAAAACTTTTCCAGCCAAGTTTTGCAGTCTGCTCTGATGACTACACCTAACCTTGCCATTACATCCAAAGTTGCCACTTGGAGACTGCTGTGTTTAAACAAACCTCTATAATTGCATTTCATAGGATGCATACAGTTAAAAAGAAAATAATTATCTAGAGAGGAAAAACTTCTCTGCTTACTGTGTTAGTCAAGTTTTGAAATGGTGGGTTGAGCTATGGCAATGCAATAATTATTGTTTATGCAAGCACAGAAAATCTCTGCTCTCTGCAAAAATAAACCACCAAAAAACACCAGTCTGAGTTTACTGAAAGTCTGGGGTGGAATTAGGTGTTGAAAGTATATTCTGACCCTCTGTGGTGTTAATGGATGAGAAGTTACCTCCAGCTGTAGGTTTTCAGTGCGTCACTGATGTGCTTTCACTGTTTGAAAACAACACCAGTGTTACAGTTTTTCTGTTTGATAGGCAAGAATTAACTAACTGGATAAACTAACGAGAGTAAACTGTCATTTCAAGTGGAGTGAATAAACCTTCCTTTTTATGAGTGCCATCTGAGAGCACAGTAAATAAAGCCTCTGGTTTTCAGTAACTGTTTAATCGATGAACAGCTCCGGGAGCAATCCTGGCTCCTTCCCTGCCCCAGCTCCAGATGTGCTCCCAGCAGGGCTGTGGTGGGAGATGGCAGGCAATGAAACTGCAGCCACAGCAGCAAGGACTGGGGGGAAATGAAAACTCCTGACTCAGAGGAGCAGGGCAATGGCAGAAAGACTCCTCATTATGGATCTCTTCACAGGGAGAAGAATGACTGGTAAATGAGGTTTGTGTGGCACAAAGAGGAAATACAGTTGGACTCAGGCAGAAATTGTGCTCACTGTACAAAACAAACAGAGGAGTAGGGCAGGGCTCATTTGCATTTCTCAGCTGGCACAGTGATGGGGAGGTGGAGATCCTCTGACACGGGTGGGAGATGCAGCAGTTCAGAGAAAGGTGTTGTTTAACTTTCCCATTATTTGGGTTGTGATGAACGTGACTTTTACTACAGCCTGTTATTACAGGGAACTTGTTCAGTGTTTGCTCTAATTTCTTTGCTGTACAATAGTTACAAGCTCTTAAAACACTGCCTTGAGCAGGTCTGCCCTGGTGACTGATTGTCACCTTTGTCACTGGTTCAGCAAAGCATCAAACGGTGATGGTGGGACTCGCTGCCGTGAGCAGACACAGTGATCCCATGCCCCTGCCCCACTGAGGTGCAGTAGCTTTTCTGGAGCAGACAAGATGTTTTCTCACCTTTAACCACTATGAGAAGTCATGTTCAGGCCACAGCAGACAGGACAATGTGCACTGGCTGACCACAGAAATCAGAGGTGTGGAACCCGGGCTAGTGGGAGGTGTTCCTGCCCATGGCAGGGAGGTGGAACTGGATGGGCTTTAAGATCCCTTCCAACCTAAACCAGTCTATGATTTATGACCTATTTAAAGCACATCAAAAGAAGCTCCATTCACCACATGCAGCAAGCGTGTCCCTCACTCTTGCAGTGTGACCAGGCAACCCAGTGTAGGCTGAGGGGTTTTTTAACTTGAATGGCCTCACGTGGCTGCATTCCAACCCCTCAGTCTGAACCTGGTTTGCCTCATCCTATTAAGCGGCCTAAGGAGTTGCAAATTCCCAGATTTATGGATCTAGAATAGCTGGAGATGCCTTCATATAAGATACCATCTTGTGTGGTCTGTCTTTGGGCATAAGACATTTTAGTGCTTGGTTTAGTGCTTGAAGAAACACAAAGAAGTCCAAAGTCTGTTTTTCATCAAGATCCTAATTTTCAGATGGACTTCCATCCTGTGATGTGAAGGGTATGTCCTTGTGTGCTGAGGAGGGTTCAGGTACCCAGGAGGCTCTAGAAGTTTTTGACTTTTATGTATTTTCTCCCATTAAAGACCAGGAATAACCAAAATGCTCGATGTGTGCAGGAAAAGCCCAGTGCTGAGTCTCAGACAGGTCACTGGCAGGTGTCTCACCGTGGATCTCACCTCTGCTGATCCCATCCAACCCACAGCAGGGCACACACCGAGTTATTAATTAGCTTCACCCCCAATCAGCCCCTGCCTGCAGTGGCTCCATTATCACAGTGTGTATTTCAAACAATAGAAATGATTGAAACAGGAACTCCTACATTTCTGAGAAGATTAAGAATGGCACACCACCCTGTAATTTAGGTAGTTGTGCAAGTTTTCATTTGCATTAGCAGAGTAGTGCAGATTGTGTTGAATTATTCCATTAAAATATCTTCAGGTTTTGAAAGATTTCCTGTGCCATCTGTATGTTGTTTGTTTTGGCGTGTTCTGGTGCCGTGGTGATGGATTTTGTGGTTGTTTTAAATGAAGATAAATGAAGATAAAACTGAGCTCCATTAATTCCCCAGAAGCCCAGAGAGTGGCACATTTGAGTCTCAGTGCTGGTTTTAAGCCCTGAGAGCCACCTTAAAACTCTGAGTGACATTTATAGAATAGCTGAATTTAATTTTAAATCTATCACTCAATTCCATTTCCTTTATTAGTAAAATGAACTTCTTTCATATGTGACACTGACAGTTACTGCAAGCAGAGATTTGTTGTCACATATTTTTGTTTTCTTCTGTTATGTGGTAAGTAGGGTCAAGATTGTGTTATGATTAATTCAGAATAGTTGAGATTTGTATTTAACTGAAATCTGGATGAAGCTGGTTGATGCAGATTTATTTTTCTGTGACTTTGACTGGTTTAGCCAGGGTAGTACTTAATGAGGCCAAAAGGGGAAAATGGACATTACAGAGTCATGTAAGGACTTAAGATTCTTTCAATCTTTTTTGTCCCTTATGTCCCTCCATATTCTGAGCCCTATTTTCAGTCAGCTGGGTGCTTGTTAAAGCAGGATAACACAGGAGGATGTGAATTTTCACTGTCACTGCAGAGATCTCCTTACCAAGATTGTTACTGAGAATGCTTCTGGTTAGGAAAAGCAGTAATTGAAGGGTCTTAGTACTAAAAGTTAGTTCCATTATTTTAGAAGGACTGGAACTTACTTGGCCCCTAATTGTGCAACTGCAGCTCACACCAGTGCTGCAGATTTGAATTCAGGAATTTGAAGGGTAGGAAAGTTGCAGAATTGGGCATTTGTTGATATATGGCAGGGCTCTACCATCTTCCTTTTCCCCATTGAAGCATTTGATTTTAGCTTTATAAAAAGCCTTGTTTTATACATGATAGTGTGTTGTCACCTGGGATATGCAAAGTTGCTGCAACCAATGCTACACAGACCTGCTGTGGCTGCAAATAAAGATTTCTACAATTTCAGGACGGCAGGCAGCAAAAAAAAACATTTTGTGTTACACTTTGTTCTCTGGACTTTAATATTTTATGTGCAGTATTTCATCACAAAGTGGAGGTGCTGTGGATGAGTTACATGCCAGTGGAAAGCTGGTTCCTCTGACCTCAAGACACACTTCTTTATTCCGTTAGACATTTTAATACATTGTTTTAAATAGCTCCCTCTCAGCTGTTGAGGTGGAAGCAGCTCTTGTTGTTTTTCCATAGCAGAGGTCACTATGCATCAGGGTCGTCAGGTGGCTGGCAAATAAAACTTAAAATAAGTGTCCCACTGCCATCCTGCTTTACTTGAAAAGGATTCTTTTAATTGCCTGGCCATTTTATTCATGCAGGAAAAATTCCTGGCATGTTGTGGAATTTCAGTGTGAGGGAGATCCCTGTCAATCCACGAGGAACATGGAAGTGCTGTGTGGATCTGGGCTGGAAGAGGAAATGTCAGCTCCCTGTGTTATTTGTGCTGAGCAACATTAATTACCTGCCTTGTGATTGGGAAGGAGCAGAGCCCAGCCGAGCCTGCTGCCATCAGTGGGATGTGAGCAGAAAGTTTGCAGGATGACCTTGTGAGTGATTACTCATCTGCTGGCTGTTAGGAACAGGCACAAATGGAATGTGACATGCATTAGAACACATTAATGATTGCCTTCCTCCCTCCATCCTCTTCTGTACAGAAAAATGATTTTAATTAAGACTTCCGTGATTAGTCATTTAATCAGTCATTAGGCCAATACAGATGGAGTCAATTAATTTTTTTACACTTGAATAGAGACTTGATGCTACTGCAAAACGTACGAGCTATTTTTTTTTTTAACATTGTATCATGGGCAATTGCCTCGGTGTCTGTCTGGGGAGTGGCATTACTCCTCCCAAAACTGGGGAGCTGTACAGCACATGGGTATTGTGGCAGCTCTAGGTATGTCCTGTTCCATGCTGTCCAAATTTCAGTGAATCCCTCTGGGTTTGAATTTGGACTGACAGTTGTTCTTCTTGCGGAGTACCCTTGATTTTTCAAAGAGCAACATGGCAGAGTTGCCTTTAAAGCAAGTGTGTTCAGGATCTCCTAATGTGTTTTATTACAGATGATAACGCTTTGTGTTTCAGTGCTAAATTTCATGCAAGAATTTCAAATGTTTGATGAACTTAAGGGCCTGTTTTGATTTGATGTGGGAAGACTTTCTGTGCGCTTGGCTGACGCAAAAGACGAGGTGAGTGAATTGCAAACAAGATGCAAGTTTGCTCCATCAAACAATAA